GCCGGCTTTGCACACCTTTTTTACACAGTTTAGCGGCGAGCTGCCGTAACACGTAAGTATTGAATCCTTCTTCTAACGACCTCGCCGCATACAATGGACGGGGCGCGCGCGCGCGAGCGCGGGGCGCGCACACACAGGTGTACACGTACGCGTGCACGTAGAGACGCGACCGGCGACGGTCTCTCGTTCATCACCATCGACGGCGGTTATCGATCATCGAGGAGGAGAGCGTGGGGACCGGAGAAGAAAGCAATCAACGGGGACATTCGATCTGTCTCCCTCCAACAAAGCGTACACTGGTCCCGTGTCAACGACAAACGCGGAGCACGGTGTTAACAGCAATGAAATCCTCCGCGAATGGACCTTTACCGAAGTTAAACGATAGAACGTAAATCAAGCAAACTTTCCGCCGTTCGAGGGAAACGATATTTACCGCGTGACGGTATAGAGAAACGCTGGGAAAAAAGCAAGGGGCGGGAACGGCGGGGAGAACGGAAAAGAGGGAACGAGAGAGCGAGAAAGAGAGAGAGAGAGAGAGAGTGCGGAAGTTGGAGCAGAGTGGCGGTCAGCTATAGCGAGAGAGAGAGAGAGAGAGAGAGAGAGAGAGAGAGAGAGGAAGAGAGAGAGAAGAATTCAGCGGGTCGTTCCANCGGCACGAGAAGTTAAAATTACCGAACGAACGCATTGATTTGTATCGGTCGCGATTTTCTGGCAAACGAAGGAGTCGGTTTCTGCATCGAACGCGGAACAATGGGGAATTTTCACGATGCGAGGAGCAATTCCAAAAATTGAATCGAGGAAACGATCCCGGCCGGCCGAACCACAGAGAACTAATAACAGAACCACGCTCCGGTTGGTTCGTACCCAATTTGCCGGCAGGCAGTAAAAGCTAACTGTCCCTAAACATTTGATCGACTCCAGGTGGTAGCGGGGTCGCCAGAAAATCCTAATAACTCTTCTGTTACACGTCTGAGCGTCCGGATTTTTCCGTCGTTGCCGAAAATCTAGATCGATCATTTCGAACGATGTGCGGCGCGACGACGCGTTGCGTGAATGTTGCATTTTCGAAGCGGTCGCGGGCTTTCTGAGGGAGCGGGCAGCCTGTATATGGCTGGAAATTAGCTGGGACCCGTGCCGATTCGGGGTCAACGAGTCGAAATGGCAATCGGGTCGGGTTCGCCGAGGCTGAGAGCGTCGGTGATCGGATAGAAATACGTACAGCGTCGAAAAAATCGAGTCGAGTGATCGAAGAGGGTGGCAGACCGAGCAGAGAGAAAGAGAGAGAGAGAGAGAGAGAGAGAGGATAAAGGAATTCGACACTTATGGGACAAATAGAACGCGTCGCGGCGGGTCGAGTTAAAAAATCCCCTTTTGAAAGAAACATGCAAAAAGAAAATAGAAACGCGCGGAGTCTGTCGAATTTAGAAAACATTTTCGGCGTTGCCGGCGCAAATGACGTACTTGCTGCTCTTCGTGGCCGTCCACAAAAGGTATTCACCGTGTCCTCCTTCCATTTCTAAACACACTTCGCCCCGGTCCCCGGCCGTTGGGGGAAAAAATGCCAGTTTCATGTTCGCTGCGATCGCATGACAGCCTCGGTTTTCCCGATCCCTGTCGCGTCGCCTCGCCTCGCGTCGTCCCAGGCCGGCTTTGCACACCTTTTTTACACAGTTTAGCGGCGAGCTGCCGTAACACGTAAGTATTGAATCCTTCTTCTAACGACCTCGCCGCATACAATGGACGGGGCGCGCGCGCGCGAGCGCGGGGCGCGCACACACAGGTGTACACGTACGCGTGCACGTAGAGACGCGACCGGCGACGGTCTCTCGTTCATCACCATCGACGGCGGTTATCGATCATCGAGGAGGAGAGCGTGGGGACCGGAGAAGAAAGCAATCAACGGGGACATTCGATCTGTCTCCCTCCAACAAAGCGTACACTGGTCCCGTGTCAACGACAAACGCGGAGCACGGTGTTAACAGCAATGAAATCCTCCGCGAATGGACCTTTACCGAAGTTAAACGATAGAACGTAAATCAAGCAAACTTTCCGCCGTTCGAGGGAAACGATATTTACCGCGTGACGGTATAGAGAAACGCTGGGAAAAAAGCAAGGGGCGGGAACGGCGGGGAGAACGGAAAAGAGGGAACGAGAGAGCGAGAAAGAGAGAGAGAGAGAGAGAGTGCGGAAGTTGGAGCAGAGTGGCGGTCAGCTATAGCGAGAGAGAGAGAGAGAGAGAGAGAGAGAGAGAGAGAGAGGAAGAGAGAGAGAAGAATTCAGCGGGTCGTTCCATTGGAAACTAATTTCGACCCTCGAAAATCTCGTTTCCTAATCCCCCGCGGAATTTTCAAGCGCTCATTAACGGGAACTACGTTTCACGCGTTCCATCGGAGCGCCGGCATTTAATTACATGTTTACAAACTAGTCTTCGCGAGACTTGCTGCGGGAGGGTGGCGCAAGGGTTGATTCCGCGAGGCGAGCAAGAAAATCGAATTTTGTTAGATTTACTAGCGTCGGATTGGCCAGGAAGTTCGCGCGGTTTTCCACGATTCTTGAAGACGCTCCTAGAAAATTGTCTTAACGGATAGAATTTCAGCTCGGCGACACGAGGAGCGGTATTTTTAAAGGAAACGCGATAATATTTTTATAAACGAGAATTATGAAATTATATAGAAGACGAGAAGAGGCTGTATCTAACAACGACTATAATTGAATAACGATTTTATCAAGATTAGCTTGTTAGAAACCGCAGGAACATTCGAATCAACCCTGTGACTTCGAGCGCGTTCGAGATGTCGGATGAATTACGCTGAACCCGTAACCTGTTGGGCATTTCAACGAATAATACTGTCTCGAACTTGAACGCAACGGAGAACATCTTTGTCGCACACGCGAAACGCGTGAAAACGTAATCGCATCAAAGGGTAACGATAATAAACGCGCGCGAGGCCAGAATAATCGTCGACGACAGCGCGGAATGGCGAACGCTGTGTTACGTTTCCCACGGATTCGTTCGCCGGGTAACGGGTTAAACCATTTTACATAAATTGCGATCGTTGGTATCGTTATTAGCTTCGCAACCCTTCCGCGAGAGAAGGTTTCGCCTGTTCCGACAAGCGTTTCCCACCGGCGCGCCGGGGAGGAGACAAACATTAACGGGGGCTCGTACATTCGTCGGCGCTCGCTAATGTAAAATACGCAACGCCGTAATACCCGGAGACGAATGTGTACTCCGTACTCCGTGTACAAACACCGGAATCACCGCGCCGAGACGAAATTCGGCGGCCGCGAAGACGGGTTTCCTCGATTCGAAACACGGTCTCGGTTTCGGTCCCGAATAAACTTCGCGTGCCGACCGCGTCCCGACGCCGGTTTCCTCCCCCCTCTGTCCGTTGCACAGAGCCTCTCCCCCCGCGCGTCCTCGGTATGATTTTATTATCGCGCAATTATCGAGGAAGCGTGGCGAAACGGCGCGGGGCCAATTAAAGTAATCGTTTGCGGGCGAGCCGCGCCCCCGATAGCGGTGAAATTAACGCGGCGAACGGATCGGGGGGCGGGGATGGGGCGGGGGCAGCGGAATCGCGGGGAGGATTTATCGGTTTGTAATCACCGCAATTATCGCGGTTTAATTGCCCGGCCGGACGTCAAGATTCTTCTTCGCCGTGGAACGGGAACGCTGGCTTTTCACGCGGCGACGCGACGCGTCGCGACGCGACGGCACGGGAGTGGCTAACGACGGGACAAGAAAGTTCGAGCGCGGCGAGTTACCATTATCGTGCACGAAAAAACAGGAATAACGAGTCCCTCCCCCACTTTCCACGGGTGCGCCTGCATTCCCGCTTTCTTTCCTCCCCTTCCTCTATTTGTCTCGAGCTTTTCAGCGCGTCGCGATCGCTGGAGAACGCGTCCGCCAAGATTTTCCGCCTGCGCTCGCGTCCGCTTACGAAACGACGACGACGACGACGGTTATCCAGGGTGCTCGGAGGCTCGGATGAGCCGGGACGGGATCCGCGGGGAGACGATCCTTAATTGCGTACGACGATTCCGAGGCAACCGATCTTTCGGGGCTGATCCATGGGGAGATCGACGACGGCCCGGGGAATAGCCCGGCGAAATTACCTCCTCCGTTAATCCGGCGACTGATTGCCCGAGATAACTCGGCGTTCGTGAAAATTCCCGTTGGATCCACTTTCGCCCTGGCTCCGCGTTTGGCTCCGTTTAGGTCGGGGATTAAAGCGAGCCGCCTGTGCGTGGAGCGTTGCGTCAAACGCGGTTACGTCGAACGGCGTGCAGCGAATTCAGGGAATTGCGTATAGTTAGCCTGAACGTCGCTTCACAGAGAGTCGAGAGAGGAAAGAGAGGAGAGAGAAAGAGAGGGAGAAAGAGAGAGAGAGAGAGAGGCGACAGGGCCAGAGCAAAGGGGACAAAGATCCACGGCGCGTTCCCTCGGACCGTTCCCTTTCACGCGAAAAACGTCTGACGCTCCGAGAGAATTCAAGTGGATGCGGATGTCGTTACACAGACAGATACCGCACAATTCGAGACAGCGAGAGAAGGAGAGAGAAATAAAGAGAGAGAGAGGGGGGGCGAGGGACAGAGAGAAAGCACCAGCAGCGCATGGAAAAAACGCGTGTATTGAATGCATACCGAATGAGCCGGCGGGTCGTAAAAAACCAGACCACAAAGGGAGAGAAGCCGCGGGGAGAGAGAGAGAACGGGGAAAAATGGAGAAAGAGAGAGCGTGAGCAGGTGGGAAAATATATTCAACGAATCACGAGGTTATCCGAGTCATAAATTCTTCGACGTTTCCGCGACGCTATTGACTCGTTCGGAAGCTATTCCTCCGCTTTTCGAGCCGTGACAGTCGCGAGTTTCCGCAGGGTTTCATCGCCGATCCGGCGATTCAGAACTTTTTGACCGTGGTAAAGTAGGAAACAGCGGGAAGAGACCGTCGTATGTAAGGAACGAGCGAGAGGCTCGGAGATCAAGAAACGACTTACGTGTCGTCGCGGCAGTCCGCGGCGCCGATGGATTGCTAGATCGCCGTCACGGACGTCAGACAGGCAGGACGTTGACATCCCGCCGATAACTTGTCGCTCGGTGTTCAACGATCCTCAAAGTTGCGTCGTCGACGTCCGAGACGCATCGTCTTTTCCAGCTGGCCCTTCTCTTTTTCTCTCTTTCGCTCTTTCCTATCTCCCTCCGTTGTCTCTCTGTCTCTTCGTATCTGTCTCTCTTGCCGCGAGAGGAACTTCACGCCCCGAGCGGACGCCACGCGGCCACTTTGTCTAACGACGTTCGAGAGATCATTAAACTGCGGCGGCACGTATAATTAACCGAGGACGGGACAAATATCCTCGAGGGCGGTAGAGGTAAAGTAACGAGGCCGAGCGAGCGCGCGTTCGAGCGCCGCGATAGATCGATCGGAGCCTGTGCACGATCGAAGGCGACGGCGGCGGCGGTGGCGGCGGTTGCGGCGGCAAACTTTTCCGCGGTGGTGGAGACAAAATCCCTACATGCTCGTCACTGGTCACCGCTGCGAGGAAAACAGCCGTGGAAAAATCGGTCCGGGAACCAGTTCGCACGGGAACGCGCGAAAGTGTCACAACCGCGTGAGAAAAATCGTCGTCGGGGCGCGGGCGTCGCATAGATTCGACGTCGAACTCGTCGTGAATTGCACTGGCCGGTTCAGCCCTTTGCCGAGTCGTAGGGGTGGCAGCGAAAGCGTCCGTGGGGAAGGGATAACGCGGTGGAGGGAACGCGGAGAGAGCGAGAGCGCGAGAGAGGCCGCGGCGAGAGAGGGAGACGGCGATCGTGGAGGGGCGGGAGGAGCTGGAGAGGGTTGGCGATGGTAAGAGGAACGGGGGACGTGGTGGGGTGGATGGAAAAGAGGAGAGGACATATACCTAGCAGCATCCACAGTGCTGAAAACCACCGCGGTACATTCCGCGGGGCTCCCATGAGAGGGGCAGCAGGGGGAGAGCTAAAAAGAGAGAGAGAAAGAGGGGGAGAGCCGGTGGCCTCTACCAAATTAAAACAAAAAGCGTGGGGAAACACATCGTGTCGTTCGAAACGGACTGGTACACACGACGTTTCTCCCTCTCTCTCCCTCTCTCTTTCCCTCTTTCTCGGACGCTCCGGATCGTCGACGCCGACGTTCCCTCCGTGGAGGTATTTCTATTTTCTTTTTGCCGTTTATTACGGTTCGCCGTGCGAGTTCGACGCGGGAAATTATGGGAGATCGTCGGCCGACGAGCGTATAACGCGACGCGGATCCAGATCGGAAATCGCCCCGGCGATTCCGGGGCCGGCGACGCGACCGCGCTCTTTAAAAATGGAGACCCGGCGCGAACACCTAGCGGCGAGCTCTTAGTGGACATCCGCGATTTATCCCCGCTTTCCGCGAGGATTTATCCGCTCGCTCGCCACCCCGTTCTTTCTTGCGGCCGTGACACCAAGCCAGAAGGATAATACGTCGGGCGGGATAAGTAGCTGCGGATCCCGATAGTAATAAGTTCTCGTAACACCGGCGCGAAGAGAGAGAGATCAAGGGAACACGGGACCGGGTAGGGGTGAGAGAGAGCTCGATCGCTCGTATTTGTACCCGGTTTTCTCCATTTGTCACCGTTACTTCCCGCCGGATCCTCTCGTCGTGGCGCGGCGAGGCGAGGCGAGACGCGGCGCGGAGCGTCGTAACGCTGCTTGAACGCGTGCTTTATCAAGGGATGGCTCGTATCGTTTAATTAGAAACCCTTTCAGCCCTACAGCCGACGTGAAAAACAAACTCCGCGCGGCACGGAGACGCCTATGCAATTACCCCTCCGCGGCGCGAAGCGTCGGTGCGCTTTAAATTTTCTCCAAATTACCGGGCCGTGTTTCACGTCCTTAGCGGCCGCGTCCCGACGACCCCTAACTCGCCGACACCCACCCTCGTATTTTTCCCTTAGGCTCTGCGCGGGCTCGGTTTCTCGCGCGACCGTCCCTCCTCCCTATGCTTCGCGCGCCGCTCTCCGCTCTTGCTCCGCTTCTCGCTCTGGTTTTTCTCGCTCTGCCTCGCTTTGCCTCGCAGGATAAAAACCGATCGAGTGAACGCGCGCTCGGGGCCAAGCACTTCGTTCATCGGCCGTAGATTTATCACTCCGGGGCTCTCTCTTTCACCGGCGCGCCGTGAATCGGTGGTTCTGGCTGGAGTGTAGCAATAGAGGAAGGGGTGGCGGCCGTGCGAGCGTGCGGGGGCGGTCGAAGGTGAGAGGGGCGACGGCCGAGGGAGAAAGTCGAGCATGACAGGCTCGCCGGTCGCTGCTACCCTCTAAAACGCATGGGAGGAGAGAGAAAGAGAGAGCGAGTGTGTGTGTGTGTATGCGAGAAAGAGAGAGAGAGATCGTTGACGACGCGTCGGGCCGGGCCGGGCCGCGTCGGCTCGGCTTGCCCTAGCGACTCCGCCGCCGATGGGAGCCGGTCGCTCGTGATTAATGATAAGCCGCCGCGATTCGAATTTCGTGGTAATACGATAGCTCGGATATTTTAAGGATAGCCCTGGAGACTCGCTCCTGGATATCTCGGACGTCGCGCGACGCAGGCGCCCCCGCGCCGCCCCACCCAGTTTGCAGGAATCCTCTCTCACCAACGCGGAAGACAGCTATCTGCTTCTGCTTCTGATTCTGCCCCGCTCGCACCGTCGCCGTGCAACGCTGTGCAACACAGAGTGCCCGGTGCATCTCTCTGCATGTGTGCAACGCGGTCGCACGTGGTCACGGCCGGCTGCCCGTTGCATTTTATTAAGCTGCGAAAAGGGACCCGCGGCGACGTCCGCGCGGGGCACGGGGCGGGAACGCTCTCCATGCGAGTCCTCATTAATTCGGCGATAATTTACGAAACTTTACGCCGCGTGCTTTACGGTCCTGCCATTACGAGCGAAACGTCATTGCGTTCTTTCTCTCTCTTCCCTGGCCGTTCTCCGTCGCGGACGCGCCGCGTAATTAGACTGCGAGTCTTTATGCAAATTTCTGACCTAGCCGGAATTGAAAGCGGTTTCTTTCGAAACTTTCGGAGACAACGGAAACGCCAATTTACGGATATCCGTTCAATTGCAGTGAATTCCCCCTAATGGACGTTCGGATTGCGCACAAAAATGGACAATTTTGGGACGAGCGGATACGATTATTCGAGCTTCGCACCGGTCGGCGAGAACTATAAAAACGAGCCGCAAGACTCGAATAATCGCATCTCCTCTTCCCAAATTGTCCATTTTTGTGCACGATCTGAGCATCAGTTAGGGAGACATTACTGTACAATTCGGGAAGAATTGCGGCTCGTTTTTTATAGTTGTTGACAATCGGTAACTATAAGGGTTAACTATAGGCTCGAATAATCGTATCTCCTCTATCAAAAAGCGGAGTTTCGTGCGGCTGGATACCGTAGAACCTCCAGTATCCGAACTAGACAGGATCGTATCAACGAGATTCGAGATCGATGTCGATTCCGTCATATTATCGGGTTGTCCGCGACGAAAAACATCGGAGCTAATCAAATGGGAAACGGTTTCACGCGCGTGTCTCGTTCATTCGAAGCACCTACAAATTGTAACCTATTTCCTAACTCGATTCACCGTGGAAACACCGCTCTAAATAATATCGCGTACGTTGATCGTTTTAGATTGATTTACATACAGGCGAAACGTGCGCAGATATCCGAAAGTCCATATATCGCTGCGATCGTCGGAATGGATTTTGTTGAAACGCATAAGTATCCGCAGTCGGATTTAAACAGAACGCTGACATGGCCCGGTGAATCGCGAACGCGGATTGTCGCGGGTCAAATTGATCAGAAACATTCGGTTTGAAGTTTGTCGGTTCATGCTCCTTCGTTCAACAAATTTCGATGCGCGCGACGAGAATTACACGCCACTCAATATTATCGAGTATTGCCGGGACGTAGCATAAATATCCGCAGTCGGATTTAATCGCAACGCCGACAAGTTGCGCGCGATCGAGAAAGCCGAGTGTCGCGGGGGTCGAATGGAAACGTCTGCCTTTGAAACTAGTAGAATAGCGCGGCGTAATCTACTTAACGCTATCAGCGCTGCATCACCGCCGGTCCTCTCGCGCATTGTACGCAGAAAGGAAGCCAAATTAATTTTATGCAGCCGGTTATTTACAGGCATAAAGCGCGTGCCATAATATTCCGAGAAAGTCCGGCTTTCCTTTGTCGAATATTTTTTCGCAGCTCGCAAAAGCGGAAACGCGGACGCGTCGCATTCGATGAAACGTTGCTCGAACGGATCCGCTCCCGACATCACCTGTATGTACCGTAATGTCTCTCTAATTGACGCCCAGATTGCGCACAAAAATGGACGATTTGGGAAGAGGAGATACGATTATTCGAATATTGCACCTCGTTTTTCATACAAAAAATCGATCTACATTGGTACTCCAATCTATCAGGAAATCCATCCTACTAGTCTCAGTAACTGGTCCAAAATTTTGCTATCGATCTAGGGGGACCAGTTACTGAGACTAGTGGAATTCATTTTCGGGACAGATCCGAAAAATCCAGAAAACCAATTCCACTAGTCTCAGTAACTGGTCCCCCTAGGTGGATAGCAAAATTTTGGACCAGTTACTAAGACTAGTGGAATTCATTTTCTGGATTTTTGTGATCTATTCGGAAATGAATCCCACTAGTCTCAGTAACTGGTCCACTTAGGTCGATAGCAAAATTTTGGACCAGTTACTGAGACTAGTAGGATGCATCTCCTCTTTCCAAATTGTCCATTTTTGTGGACAATCTGAGCGTCAATTAGAAAGACATTACTGTACACATTTATTGTTTGCTCCCGCAATGAAAACCAGCCGCCAACGCTCGTTCTCCCGTGAAATTGTTCACACTTTAAGGACACCCCATACGGATTATGGTCACGGACACGCGACGGGGTGGTTCTTAATTACGGCACGATACTTCGAAGGGTGATCCCCGCGATAATACCGTAGGGAGACTGTTCTACCAACCTAGATTCTACGGAATTTATATTCCGGGGTGTAACGGGACAATGAAAAATGATAGCGTGATATTAAGAGGACGGAATTCAAGATTGGCAGGGTGTCAACGGGGGACGTGGCCCGGGTCGGACCGGATTGGCCGTTCAACGGTGTTAATTCTACGCCGTGGCGGCGCTCGAAAGCGTTTAACAGCTTGTAATCGGCCGATTCGAAACGGGAACGCCGGCGAAAAATATTCGCGACCGGTTTTGCAACTGTTGCTTTCACGCTTCTACTTCTCGCCGCGAATTATTAATCGTTCGCGCGCGAATAAAGTGGAACGAACGAAAAGCGCCGGGAATACCATCGAGTTCGTTCGAAGGAACGAAACGCTCCGCGAATACGTCTGACGCCGATATCTGCGACGTCGGAGCCCCCGAAATAAAGAAAGAGAACAACCATAAACGTCGGAGTACACGTCACCCTGTAATTCAATGTACAACCGCGCCTGTACCGCTGCGCTGTACAACCGCACTGGAAAATACTTGAACGTCTTAAGTCCGCCAAAAAGAAGAATCGCGTTCGACGAGGCGACTGGGTGTACATTCCCAGATATCTCTTTCGAGAGGGATCCTTTTAGTTCCCGTCGCTACTTAGACACAGCGTCGCGGAAAGAGGGGCCCCGATCGCATTACCGGCGTCGATTCGGGTCGGTCGCGACCGCGAAACCGGGGTCGAAATATTTCCGGTCAGTTGCGCAGCGTCCGAGCGTTTTCCGGAACCGCGCACGGTGCGTTCGTTAATGTCGTAATTAACCTGGATATCGCGTTCCCCATAAAATTCTGGCCGGCCGCGCGATCGGAAGCGCGACTCTTTTCATCGGGAAATGGTTCACGCGCCGCTAATTAAACCTCTGATTGCAGAACTTTCCGTGTCCGGCCGGCGAACATCGGTTAAGTTTCCGCTCCGGCCGGGAGGGGAAAAACGCGGCGAGTTTTCCACGTCGTTTCGGAAGAATAATAACCGATAATAAATGGGCGGCGGAACTTTATTTAATTGGCGGACCCGCGGATTTTTGCAGGACGCGGACAGGACGGTTCCCGCGACCCGGATCCCTTCTCCCGACGGTGACAACGGGTCGCGGCGGATCTCGTAACAAATATAAATGATCTTACGTTCGTAGCCGACGCAAACCAAAAATAATGGCGGCCGACATAACCACTTCGGTCGGGTGACGCCGCGTGTAACAAACAAAAATAAACGAGCATGTTCTCGCGCGGTGTCAGGGCGGACGGTCGCGCAATTAGAGTTCCAGTTGGCCAGCTCTATTTCATTCGAGCACCCCGTGTCGATTAGATTAGGTTATCGTCCGGCGCGCGGTATATGAATTTATATGCAAATTTCTGCCCCCCCCCTCCTTCTCCTCCGTTCGGCCCACCGCCAGGCACACCTGTATCGCCCGCCATTGTTTTCGCAACATTCATAAATAAGGGGCCGGCGGAATAACGAATCTCTTAAGCGGAAAGCCCCCACGGTTTACTTTCGCCCGGGCAAACAGCGCATCGGTAGCTACAACTTTCGGTATATACGGCATATTTGTTGCCGGAGCTTGTTAGAATTTCTAATTAAACCGCACGCCGAAATGATAAATCTGTCTTAAGCCACTACGGCTTTAGGTCACTCGGTAATAAGTTGCCGCAAGTTTCTTCGTGCGTGTTCGCCGACGCCGCGAAGATTACCGTCTACCGCTATCGTAATTACCGAATCCCGAAGCAAACCGAGGAAGAAGTCCGCACTCCGGGTAAATATTCATCAGTCTTCCTCCAATTGGCAAAAATTTTAAGCAGCTTCCGGATTCGTGATCCGATCGCGCGACAATCTGCAAATTTGTTCGTACGGAAGAGCCGGCGGTGCTGCTTCGCTTCGACTGTACGACAATATTTTGGACCTCTTGACCAGATTATGCTTTATCCGCTTACCAATGTATATTCGACGAATGCGTAACAATGTTTTTCATTTTTTGGAACAACGATACCGATCGTGTCGTCACAAAAAGGACGTTAAGCGCCCCCGGAGAATAATATTTTGATCGCAAGTCGGCCTTCCGAAGTTTTTCGACGAAATTTTCCAATCTTTAAAAAAACCATTAAATTGTCTCGTTATTTCGAACTTTGTCCGCTTATTAACACTTTAAATGACCGCACGACTGTGCAGTCGAACGTCGCCAGGGGTCGGCAGTATTTATGTAAATTCATGGAATAATTGAACATGTGCGAACGTACATTTTAACAGAAGAAATTTAATATTTTCCCTTTGCGTAATAATTATTAAATCAATCACCTATACATAATTATTAAAGCATCGCACACATGTCGCACGAGCGGCCATTAAAGTGTCAAGAGACGTTCGGAGAGTGTACAGTACTTTCCCCAAGCTGGAGCAACAATGCCGATCGGTCTGTAACTAGGAAATATGTTAAGCAGCCCTTTACATTAACATTTCGATCACGAGAGGGCAGCCCGGAATTTGTTGAAAGCAGAAAAACAAAGAGTATTGTGCAATTGGAACCTTCGCCCTCTCGCATGAACACGCATTCGAGGAATGCGGGCGAATGTGTTTCCAAGCCGGAACAATAACAATCTCCTAGGTCTCGGCGACGCGAGAGCACGGGCATTCGATAAAAAGTCCTAGGGACGCGCCCAGCACGATCCATCGCATACATCAGAATCCTCCGGCTCGCGGAAATATTAAAACACGGGCCGCGCGGAGGATCGATGGCGAGGAGAGGCGGGGGCGGCCTCTTGCGAAACGTATTTGCAGACACTTCATTTGCATTGCATTTTCGGGACTTCCAGATAATTAAAACATTTAGCCCGGGGTTCGCGTTTTTGCGCGGTGTTTCGTACATAACCGTGCTTCAGACGGTTCGTTTGCATAGTATTTTCAGTCGGTCCCGGGTCCCGTTGCATGTAACATAATTACGCCGCCGACCGCGCTCCTTTTTTGTTAATAGCCCCCGTGTTTTGCCACTTCGAGCGGCGGCCACCCCGCGCCGCCCCGGATCGCGCGGCACCCACGGCACCCCCGGTCGCGAGGACCGACAACGGGTTCGACGGAAAGGGAGTGGCGGCTGGGATTCGATTAAACTGTAACTCGGATCAGCGGAGAGCAATAGCCATAAAACCGGGCGGGGCTGGAGGGGAACAAGACGTTACAAGGCGGTTCCGAGAGCGTGCCAGCTCGAGAAGAAAATTCGCATGAGCGGCGCCGTTTTGAAGGGCTTCCCTTTTGGTACATCATCCCCTTGCCGGCACCGATCGCTGACTCTTTCGCGCGATGTTTGATCGACTCGCGTACGTCACGATTATATTCGGCGAACGCCGTCGGATCCTTCGGGAAAGCCGATCCGCCGTGCACGGTCGGCGGCTGGGAAATTGTTACATAAAAAATCCGTCGGTCGGTGAACGGGGGAGCGGAAAAGTGACGGTGTGTATCCGTCCGATGTACCGGGGAACGAGCGCACGCGAATCCGGCTTACGTTCACGTTCAATTTCCTCGAAGATCAATATGGAGGATCCCTTCTCCCTCCGGTGCGCGCCTTTTGTTTTATTTGTTCTCCCTCCGTTCTTTAAAAGTAAAAATATGCTGATCCCACGCGAACTGCTACAGATTCCTGCGGCAGAGCCACCTTCGTCGCGCGGAAACCTCGTAATAATATTTTATATATAGATTGTATTAACTCCTCGCGGCGGAGACCGCTCGGATATTCCTGGCACAGCAGTTTTATCGTTCCGGTCGAAAACCGAGATATACCCGGCACCGGCCTCGATGTTGCCGCCGCGTTAATATTTAATTACCGTTCAGGATAATTTACCGATTTTACGGGACAATCCTCGAGCAGAGGCGCGTGTGTCGTCCTACTTGTCACGGGGCCAACACCGCTGGAATACAGTCGGCGACAAAATTCTCCGCACAGCGGCGGAAGAATCGGTATCGAATGCGAGTTTGCGTCATTCGTGGAACCCACTGAACCCGTCTCGTTCACATTTTTCGCTTAAAATTACTCGAATTATTTATACGTATTTTGTATCGATTTCAATCCTTAGGCTCAGAAGTGGACTCGGTGTGTTCAAAATATTCTGGCTGATTCACATTTCCCATACTTCAACTTACAAGCAATTCTTTACACCCATCCATCAGCACCCTGTCAACTTTCTTTCTTCCCTCCCTATTCGCCCCCCTCCCTACTGCCCTTAACCTTTTAATAACCCCTTCGCACACACCCTCCCGCCTACAATCTGTTCCTCGCTGCACTCACACATCTCGCTCGCACTATTCCAATAAGTGCTCCAACGTGCCGCATTCTCTCTCGCATAATCTACATTTCTCACCTTCCTCGGTTGCGATGAATATTTATTATATTCCACCGTATTTTCACATTCGACCCCAGCTATTCGTCTTTATAAGAAAATCAGTACGTTAGGTTAGGTTTATAAGGCTCTACGCGCAGGATGGTAAAAGATTTCAGCAGTTCTTCAGAACTAAGCGAAGCAACGAAGGTATGCAAAATCGCCAAAAAAATCGAGCGCGACGCACGCTGAACCGAGAGCCTCGGCGACTAATTAAAACCGTCCTCGCGCGCTGTTGCTTGAACTGGTTAAATTAGAACGGAACCGGAACGAACGAGCCGAGGGGGATACGGGAAGCGGGCGGAAGACATCGGCGATCTAAGATCGGATCGCCGTAGGAGATATTCGAACATACGTTAAAGGGTTGAACCGGGAGAGTCCCTTCGGCGAGAAGCGACCCCGAGGTTATCAGGGTCTGGTAAATTAGGAGGAGCGCGGGTAAACGGGAATTTATTCCGCAGAGGACAAACTAAGGCCGCCGCGGAGCGACCGCTGCGTTTTATTGCACCCCTCGGTCCACGTCGAAGCCGGCCGTCCTTTGATTCGGCGTGCTCTTGTTTCCGGACGAGGCGTGCACGAAGGATTTATCGGCGTCGAGTTTGCCCGGCTGGCTCTTTGGTAACCGTGCTTTAACCACGAGCCCTCCCCCGCCCCCTTTTCCCTTACAAACAAGCCCAGGTAAGCCGGGGCGCAGATAAGCATTTGAAATATCTCATCGCGCCGCCGATACGTGACGATTGCAATTATTTTGCACGGGCTCGGAGATAAAGTAATAAATCGCGGCCGGATAGGTCGGCCGTGATTAACCCAGTTCCTTGTCAGAGCATCTCGCAGATAGGAGGAAACGTTCGGATAAAAGGATACGGGGGGGCTGTTCCGACGGGATCGCGCCCGCGCGCGGATCATCCGACCGCGTAAAATCTAACGCGACCCGTTTAAAGCGTTTCATCGAACGCGGGATATCGGGATATCCTGATTTACCGGCGAGCGACCGCCTCGCGTGCTTATTCGTCTCAATTAATCGATTAATTAATTAAAGGGCCCCGTAATGCCGGTGTGAGTTACGCGATCGGAGGGAAGGCAGATGGCAACACCGTCCGCTTTGTACGATTGTGCACTCACCGCGGTGTACTGGTCGCTGATATCGGCCATCTTGCGGGATAGTTCCCTGCACTGTCTGTCGATGGCAGCATATTCTACTGGCAGCTCGATGGGCGGACTCAGGTCGGCAGGGAACTAAACGGATTTTAACAAAATTTTATTCGCACGTGGCTGGAAATTCGTTTCGTTGGCGGATTACAGAATTGGAAAATGGTTAAGACTGTCAGTAAAGTAAAGGGAGTTTCGTGGCGATTCGGTGGTAAGAATGTTTAACCTTAAACGATTAAATTGCTCGCGTTCCTGCGAATTTTCGTTCAAGTTGTTCCTGCGAGTAGTTCTTTTCTATGAATTTTTCTTATACTTTTTTTAAACGAACGTTGATACGATGTCTGAACTGTAATATAGCGTTTTATACGGTGGTACGACTATACTATAGGAGTCTGTAATTGTTGCAGTCACTGCTGCCAGCAACGAGTCCGATAACATCGGGAAATCGTTTTTGCAACTTAAGTTAGACTTGGAGGAAGACGGTAAAAGCAATACCGTGTTCGTGGAAATGACGATAAGCGAGTTTTATAAATTTCTACACGACCTAGAGAAAGCGAAGTCGGACCTTGACCTGTTGCTATAAATAAATCTAATTGATTGTACTCGTTAATTATAAATTAAGCGGTGCCGCTTGTTCATGAGCATTTTATTTTTCTACACATATTTGTATAGTTCGATGTCCGTATAAAAAATAAAGTTGTATTTGCGTATGTACATGAACATGGTAGATCCTGCGGTGTTTTATTGTTAATTGACGATCGTATAACGCTTATAATCGATTAATACTTATGTCGGTAGTAATACTAGTTCGTAAAAAAATAGCATTTCTTTACTATAAAAGTTTTGCAGTGTACACAACGACGAAGTATTGTTCTCGAAAATTCGCGATTACAATACCCGTTTGTTTCTTCGGCGAGGAATTCGTACCTTGAGAGATTACTTTACCTGTTTACGTTTCAAAATAAATGATACGTTCTCCTGACACCTGTTTCGGTGATCAAGAATATATTTGGCACGTCCAATTGTAAAATACAATCGAAATATATTTCTCGTGGGACATTTAAATCGTAATAAAAATTTGTTAACACCCATTCGGAGATTCATGCGGTTTCTGAATGGCAGAATCTGTCATCTGAAAACATAAATACTTTATGAATCACACATACGATAGAAAATAGCGTCTTCGACGATTCAGAGATCCGAGATTCGTATTTTTCTGTTATATTATGAAAGAACATTGTAGCACCGTTTAAACGATAAATAGAAAAGGGGGTTATCTTTATTTATTCTTTAGTAATGAACATACAATTTTTCGATTTCGTTATCTTTTTGGCTTTTTGCTAACAATAACATTATCTTCATCGCAACCACGTAGAAGGTTAACATATGTAACTAGTGCAATGTATGTACAGTTAGTTATTGTCTAGTTTGAAATTTGTTCGTTGTCCCACTAGTTACATATGCCAAAGACATTTATCGAAACATCGGAACCGCCTTACGGTCTAATATAAACAAAAAAAATATATTTGTATATATATACGCCATCCTTCGTTGTATTTACATTTTTAATAACCGTTCGTATCTACATACGTCACCGAACAATCGAGCATGTTACTACTCGAGGAGAGGATCTTTTTAAAAGAATTATTGTCAATTTAATACTGCAAGAATACTATGGAGATGAACGTCAATTGTATGCAGTAGAAAATAAGCCGCGCGAGAGTGTTTTTCAAACACGTTTTAAGTATTGTCAGATTATTAAAAAAAAAAAAAGAATAATAAAAAAAACGTTGTCGGTAGTCATCGTATCAAAAACAGATTTCAGAATTCCCGCATTTGTACGTAGAGATTCGAGCAGAGACTCGCTTGAAAGAGATTCGTGATATGAAAGATCGGATGTTTCACAGTTTTCATTGTTCTGCGTTTCGCCGGGTGCGGACTAGTCACAGCCCCCCTCTGATTGTAAGGCTCTGCTAATGAGAGTGCAGGATTTTTCAAGTTTGATGCCGGACTTTCTGGTAGCTTCAATGTGTTGAGTTCTCGTAAGGACTTGCCTTTTTCTGCTTTCTGCTGAATCGACTCTAATACTGGCAGAATTGCACCGAGCAGGGGTCGCTTCGACGGCTCACCGGACCAACATTGTTGCATCAACTTCCAACACTCGTCGTCGAAGGAAGGTAATCGTTCGGGTCGAATTCCTTGTTGTGATAAAAAAAGAGAAGAAGTTATCCCCATATTTTGATCGCACCATTCACACGTTCGCACGAGATTTGCACATATTTTTCGCCCGATTCACACGCACATTTCAATTCAATTTCACCGATACACGATCCAATTAAGCTAATTAATCGCGTCGATCTAAAGATCGCGAGGCCAAGGAATAATCTTCGCTAGGAGCATATCGATTCGTAAGCACTCATCTAAATCGCAATCAATCAACAACAATCCGTCTCTCTGTATTAGTAAATATAATAAACATGGAATTACCTCTCTTGACGCTGGTCCACAATTGTTCTTTGTTGTTGTACTGTTCGAAAGCGTGAGGTATCCTCACGTGGCCAGCACAAATGTACCAGAACAGGATGCCGAATGCATAGACATCGACGCTGCTATCGTAATGGCCAGATAGCAGTTCTGGCGCCATGTGAACGGGCGTCCCAACAATGCTGCCGGACATCATCGCCTCGGTTATGCAGAACCCTAAATCGGTCAGCTTGGCCCTGTTCTCGGTGTCGAGGAGAACGTTCTTCAGCTTGATGTCTCGATGAACGAGCCCTTGGGAATGAAGATATCGAATCCCTTCCAACACGTCGATGGCAATCTGTATTCTCTCGGTCCAGGACAAACCAGCGCGGATCCCGCAATACAGATCGCGGCTCAATCGATCCGAGATCAGAAGGACCGCGGATCCAAGACCGAACCCTCCGCCGTACGATTGATCTATAAACGATCCTCGGAGTTTCACTATTCTTTTGTGATCCGGGATGGACCTGGTATAGTAGAACTCCATGGCGAGGTCGTTCCAGTGTCTCTCGTCGGGCGGGACCACCGATTTAACCGCGCAAGGACCCGGCGCCCCACCCCAGCCGTCGCAAGCAAAGACAACCCCGTACTGTCCCCTGCCGATCTCCTTCCCGCAATGGGGCATCCCATAGCGAACAGCGTCTATCATCGACGTCGACTCCAGCGCCAGTTTCGCTAACTTAGGAGCATGGAATTTCCTGATGGCTATCCTCTGCTCCTCCGTCCTCTCCAATTTTCCCGAATAATAATTATCCAACGACCGAAGAGCCGCTTGGAACGAGTCGTGGGACGCCTTCAGTTTGTCTCTGAACTGCATAGATATTGTCCTGGCTAATCTAGCCGCCGACAGGGAATTCAGAATGTCGATGGTCACCTTCTTCCTCCATGCGGCGTCTAGGGTCGGGGTCGGCGACCATGGCATGGGTAACGACTTGAACAGCTGCCTCAATCTTTCGAGGAACGAGTGCATCAAGGACGGAGAGGAATTATGCAACTCGACGTTGTACGCGGCCGAGAGGATCTGTTTCAGAGCGTCGCTGGCTAGAGGACAAGAGTCTCGTTCGTAGGTCTTCTCGAGACTCAAAAGACACCTTTGCAAAGTCCCTACGAACGTTTCCCTTAGACAATTGACCGAATTGACGAGTTCGTGGGCTACCCTCTCGCCCAACCATCCGAGCACCACCCTCTGAACTTCAGCGATCGCTGCTCGGACGGTCGCGGACCATTCCGCGCGCTCTGTGTTGTCGCAGGGGACGCTAGGGTAGGGGTAAATGTCGTCTTCGGACGATAGAACGTCGTCTTTCATCTCTTGTATGATTTTCTGTATCATTCCGGTTAGTTCTTCCTGTTTTTCATTGACCAATTTCATCAGGTTCGCGTACAGTTTATTTTCCTTCATCTGCGCGTACTGTATTCGCCTCGGGGTGATTTGGATCGTACGGGCCATGTCGAAGGCGCCTAGAATGAATTTTCGCAAGCTGGTCGTGTGCACTTCGTTCAAGTAGGTGCCCGCTTTGATGAGATAAGTTTGCAGACACGCTCGTACAAAGTATAAAATTCTGTCGGTCTTCTTGCATGAATCCACCAGGTCGCTGCCGCAGACGTATTGTCCGCCACCGAGCCAGGACAGCTGCTCGACCTCGACGGACTCCTCCATGCCGAGGAAGCCCAAGTTGGTCAGCTGCTCCAGCCACGTTATCCCCAGCGAATTCATTTTGTCAAAATCGATACCGTCGTCGCTATCGATTTTACTCGTCGAATCGATCAGATTCAAACGATACTGCAGTCTATGTTGTTCGGATTCAGTCAATTCAGCGTCGATGCTGTTCAACGTAATGTTTCCCAACGACGATACAAAAAGAACGGGATTAAACGGATATGTTTCCTTCAAATCTCTCAACTCTTCCATGTTTTGTTCCGTAAGGGGATGCTCTCCCAGGGCGTATAAAAATATGGGTAGTACGTTTAACAGTCCTTTGGCAAGAACCTGAACCGCTCCGTTATTTGGAGCAACGAATAGTTGAACTCCATCCTTCAACACAGGTAAATCTAGCTTGACGTCGAGCACCGTCGGACAATTTATGTCTTCCGTGCCAGACCTTGTTAGATCTTCCGCGTTGAGAGTGTTCCAAGGCTCGTCCGTGGCTTTTAAACTATCTACTACTTCGTACTCTAGACCTAAGGTAAGACTAATATACTTTATCACGTCGTGAGTTATCTTTATCCATCGCCACAGTCCATTGGTCACCGGTAAAATATCTGTAGAAAGTAAACTATTGACTAAAGTTGCCTTCGATCTACTGTCTTGCCCAAAAACAACGACAGCAGGTGAGTTCGTTAATATATGTTTGATGTTATCTAAAGTTAACTCAGGCAACAACTCCTTCACTACATTTTCTGAAAGAAAACCAAATTACTTCAAAACCTGTCCCGACGGAGAATGTAAGCTCAGTGCTCTGGATCTTCACCTCCGGGAAAAAAGTTCTCATTGTTAATCAGTTCCAGTGCCTGTTCGGTCTCCTTTAGAATATGTTTCAGTTGATTACGGGTGCGGTGGTACCTCCTGAATTCTTGTGGTAATTTGCTCGCCATTTTTGTGTAATTTATTTAAAACCCGCTACGCCAAAATCTCTCATAGCCTGATAATAAGACCCAAATATATTTTCAACTATATCTACAGCCTACATCTACCTTAGACTACGCTACGCACAAGTTCACACGCAAATTAGAGCACACGGTTAATAATCGATATACCAAACACAGGCACACAAGCATTGTATAAAGCAGTTTTAATGTAATAATCAAGATAATTCTAAGCAATTTCACAAACACTTGCAAATCATGATACAGACCTTCTTCCTAACCAATAGACGGCGGTCGAGGTACGGACGGTTTTACTTGATTCTCAGCGATTAATTAACTCCTTCACTTCGATCATAACGACGCCGTCTCGTTCGACTTTCCAGGATCGGTTAAACAGGCGTCTTGGATTTTCCATGTATAAAAACTTGTTAGAAATTACGGTGCAAGTAGAAATACCGACGGACTACCGCCATACGCGTACAAATACCAACGTAAACGCTGACACACCGATGGAGATTCCAAAATTTGACAGTTGAATAGATAGCAGCACCGTCCAATCCGAAATATTTGTTCAAAAATTAAGAAACAAGCGAGAAGCATAGGCTCGGCGTATGCTAGATACCGAGCAGTACTGAGGGTCGCTATTTTCGAACGCTTAAATGTTTATGGCTAATTACGTGCGGCTGTGAACCACGGCTGAAAAGAAGCCACTGAATAGCTCGATAAGCTGTACGCACCATTTAGTCGACGTGAGATACGCTACTTTCGCTTCTGCACCCGTGTGTCTTTTTGCTCTATGAGATTAAAGGGAAATACGAACGGGACAGAATAAACAAGATTCCCCTTATTTACAAAGATAACATTCGAAGATATGCACATAATTTAAGACTGTCAATATCGAATTTATAGTTACACTCCGAAGCGCGGATATTAACTGCAACAATTTATACTTATGACCGCGTTATCGCGAACGGATATTACTCGCGTTGAATTACTTGTGTTGATTTACACGAGTAATTTTAGTGGTTACGTCATCCGTGCAACATAATATTACCGTGAACGCATATCTTGACACACCGGAGGAAATATATAAGCGTTGTTAACGGTCAGCGACGTAGAAAAATGCAGCGGCGTTCGAATGCTGTGCTTTGAACAGTATTAATCGTTGCTTTCGTTGGTGTGCGAAGTGTATTATTGATAAAAGCAAGCCAGATAGATCGACCTCTCTAGATTTTGCTATGGAAACAGACTTAAGTCACGAGCTCCACCTTCTTGACCGCTACTGCATGCAAATACAAGTACATACTTCTGCTGCACCGACGCTAAACGCGCTCCTAAATAAGAACTATTAATAGGAACTTAATAGGAATTACCAGGAATTGTTCTACGTTTCTTGAGCTTCGGATAGAGTGTTTGATCAAAGGTAAACTCCACCGAAAACCGTCGAAGAATTGATTCTTTTCATTCCAGTGTCCAGTACTTTTATCGGACCTTATCGCGATTCATGTTAATTTTTAGAGTTTGCAATAATATTTATGAATTAAAAATTACGTGTAAATGATTTACGTATTTCGAGCTATATGTATGAGAAATTTTAAGGGAAATAATCAACGAGAAACTGTAAATAAATTAATTTGTTAACGATCCTTCGATAAGGATTCCCGAGCTCCTTGATAAAAGATGACGAATTCAAACGTGTCCTCGAAGATTTCCACAATCGAAAATTATCAGAGATGAATCTACATTTTTCAAGCTTCAAATTCGTATATCGATTATCGTAAGATTTTGCGGTAAACAACGAAATTTTTAATAAAAAAACAAAACTTCACGAAAAGAGGTGTCTGCAGCGCCATCTACAATGAACGCCCCAAGCTACTAGCCGAATAACACTTCGTCGGACCGTTGGATGGCGCCACCGTTCACTATTTTTGTGTCGAAATCACTATTTCATTAAATACTCCGCTATTGACGAACTACACTTGATCTTTTAGGACCAAATAATTCCAAAAAAATTCTATACACAATTTGCAATACCGCAAGTCATGCGAGTAAGCGTTTTAATCGATTTTACTGAACAGTGGTTCGCCTATACACGCTCCGAGATTAATTCGTTTTGCGTCCGCTATGTGGCGCCACCATAGTCGTTTCCGATGCGAGTCGTTTAAAATCAGTGGTACGTATTACTCATTAATTATCGAGATTCGTGTAATTATCTGTCGACTTTTTATGTTAAATATCTTCGCTTGCACGTATATTACACTAACATATAATTTGTCATTACAGATTTGCGATATTTGTCAAGCATTCGAAAATCCGGTAATTTACGTTTCTCAATTATTCGATTATGCGCAGTATTAATGTTATTGTTGGCGAAGATGCTTATCCTTCTACTTGCAAATATTGTTAATAAATAAGTCGCGGGTTGATTATCTCGCGCCGATAGGGATGAGATTTCGGGAAAACTCGAGGGGTTCGTCTCGCCATTACCCGCGGCTATTTTGAAGACTCTTCCACTTTAATTACACCAACTTGCTCTCACGATATTACAACATTACGATATTACAAAGTGTACGCTAAATCACCGAGATTTAGGGCCGCAAAACTTTCCAGCCCCAAAATGTTGTGCCAGGCCGTTTGAACGATCCGAAGCTAATTCACCGCGTAAACAATAATAATATTAGAAAAATTAAATTTCACTTTGCAGGAAAATCTACGATACGATGAAAAATATATATTATTACGTATTATACTTTCTGCTAGTAAATCCATCAAGAGAATATTTCTGCGACGCCTCTTTCCGATTAACATTAGAGATATAATAAATACAATGCTAGTTATTAATTCACGATTATTCAGCTTATTTTGCATTATTCCTTTATACGAGTATCAGAATCGATTTAAATAATCACCCAGTTAGCCTTGTCAGTCTTGTTATTGTTATAAAATAATACGAAGCATGTACTCCGAGTGCCTCTTGGTTCAACTGCGAATTCACGTCTCTTTCGACGAACTTAAAATTCGTGGATCAATGGTCCCGATCGAAAAAAGGAGGATCTCCCGTCCATAATGGACACGAGGAACAACAGGCCAGTTTTCTTTCGGCCGGCGCGATCGCTTTTTAATCCGTGGATTCCGCGGGTGTAATCAGCAATCAAATTTATTAGTTTCTATTGTCTCGGGGAGCGAGATTCTTTTCCGATTTTATGGCGTGGAAAGACGATATAATAAGGAGAGAGAGCCGCCTCGAGCGAAGCTGCGAGTAACGAGGGAATAAGAATGGCTAGGCAGTCGAGGGAGGTTTCAGGCTGGGGGGTGGTTCAGGCTGTAAGATTTACTGGACTCGCCAGTAGCCGCTAACTTTTCGCAGGGTGTGAGAGGGGCCCCGTCTCAAAAACATTAAAGCGATATAACGCGAACGTGAACAATTTATTTCGACCGGGGCCGTCGAGTCTTTTATTTCGGGGGGGGGGAGGAGTGGGGGAAGAAAAAAGCCGGCGGAGGGAAAAAAAGGAGGGGACGGAGAGTCGCGTCGGTGACTTTAATTTCGCGGCGAGATAAGCACGAATCGATCGGCTGCCACCGTCGTCGCGGCGTTCGCTGGCATCGAAATTTTCTTCGACTTACGCACCCGGTTCGGCGACCCCTGCCTGAAATCGATTCGTACCTTCGAAGAAAGGAACAGGAGAGGCTAGAGCAAGAGCCCGACAGGGGGCGGCGGGGATGGAGAAAGAAAGAAAAAACTGTTGACTCAGGAGTATACGGATTGTAATAAAAATAAATATTCGGAGCGTATGTGTGCTGGATGGGGGTGGTGTGGTAAAGTATGAGCGAGGAGATAGAAAGTTGGTAGAGGTGGTGGTGGCTACGACGTCGTTCCCCACGCGTACGCTCCATAACGATATATAAAAGCCGACATATTTCGGGACAAATCGGTTTTTTTTTCTCTTTTCACCGATTTCGTGCATAGAACGACCGATAAACTTGATGTCGCCCGCTCGCTCGCTCGATTCCCGGGAATACCGTGGTAACCGGAACGTTTCTCTCCTGCCGATCGTCGATTTTCCATATAAAAATCATTTAATTGTTCCCGCGCTCGTTCCGTTCTCGTTTTTTCTTTCGTTGCGGGACCGCCTGATTCTCGAGGAAACGAAACACTCCGGGACAGGATAACCCTCGCGCAAAAGTGAAAACACAAATCTTGCGGCCGTCTCGGACAGTTGAATCCCGAGATCTGGGTGTAATGGATCCCCGGATGTACTCTCAGCGTGCTCGCCGAGTTCTGGCTGCTCTTTATTCCCATCTCTCACGATACCAGCACATTTCTCTCCTATTCGTGCGCTACGCTCGAGTTTAGAACGGTCCGGTTCTGTCTTTGCTTCTCGCCGGGGCTGGTAAACAAGTCCTCCGCTCGACGCGTTACTCTCCTTAATCGCGTTAATTGTTCGATGATTAGAATAACTTTTCAAAAGGAAACTTATCTTTAACGTTTCCAGTGAGTCGAATCTTGAAACGATCTTTTTTTAATTAATCGATGAAAGAGTCTACAACGCACGCGTACAGGTTTTCCTCTCTAAATTACTCCTCTTTTTACTCTAAATTACTCCATCATATTCACCTTTGTGCACGACTAATTAACCACGTCCAATCGCAGATCTTCCTCGTCGTTTTGCAAATCGAATTCGCTGATCTGAAATCAAGTCAATATCACCTCAAAAAATGCAACGAAGTTTCGTAAATAAATCTTGCGGGTTATTTGCTTCGAACGAAATTCCTATTATTTTGCAAACAAGCGTACAAATCCATATGAAATGCAATAATCGACTTGAATTGTATAAATACTTGTTGGAACGAATTTTCTCTGCCAAAGGAAGAATGAATTCTGTAAACGATTAAATAAACCATGCAAAAGGTTCAACACCGGCGATACAAAAAAAAAGAACACGATCTACGAAAGGATTAGTAGACATTCGAGCCTGTAAGTGCTTAAACAGCGTTCGCTCTTCACCGTATCGGTTTCCACGTATCGAGCTCTCGCCCCGAAAGGATCATCGGGCACAAAACAGATTCGCCGTGGCAAGGGTGACACGATTGCCATTCGGGTTACCTGCGGGCAACGGGGATCCGTCGACAGAGCCAATAATCGTCCGTGGAAAGAGCGAAACGAAAGGAGGACCGATCTGTTTCGGTGGAGCAGGCGGAGGTCAGGAGTTTCACCGGCGTATAATTAATTTCCCATGTCACCGTCGTTCCTCCCCGTCTCCGGCTCTCGTAGCCCCACGCAAATCCCCCGGACCACGACGACAATATTGCTGGCCATTTCGTTCGACAGCGGCCGAGAGAGCGCCTCAGCAGTTCTCCTCCTGTTCGGGTCGAACCCCTTTTCCCGCGGCCGGAGAAAGGGGTTGACTTTACGGACAAGCAACCGGGACCGATTCCGATCCGTCGTGCTCGTCGTTCTCCCTGCATCCCGGACGCTCCCGAACCCCGGCGCATACCTAGCCGTCGATATCGGGGCTTGCGTAATTAAACATAACGGATCAACATTCGGCATTACGTAACCGAGCCTCCTCTCTCCCGTCTTCCACGCGGACGCGCGTATCTATTATTGGTAGTGCTCGTGCGCTGAACCGTGTGCACGCCGTCTATATAGGTAGCCGAACGACCTCCTGACCCCCGGTTACTCGACTCGAATCGGTTAATTGGATAAATGTCCGATGAACGCCCGGGCCATCTCTCCCTCAAGTCCTCCGGTGGCATCGTCGTCTCCTCCTCGTCCTCCCGCCTCTTCCTCCTTCTCTTCCACCTTCTCATCCTCCTTCTGCCATTCTAGGTGCTTTCCGTTCGGGTTATTCCTCCTCCTACCACCACCGCCATCACCACCGCCACCAGCGGCAGCAGCAGCAGCATCGCCGCCGACGTTCCTCTCGCCCTCGCCCTCTTCCCTTTTACTCATTTCCGTCTATGTCCTTATCGGACTCG